AGACAACTCTTCACCAGATACCAAATGACAAAGAAAGTGAGCAACTATAGGTTATAGTACCGCCTTCGACAATAAGCAAAACTCATACCACATAGAAAGCTATAAAAGGCCCTGAAATAGTATAAGAAGTGTAAAACTATTCAAAACGAGAAAACTCACGGCCTGATTTATGTAAAAAAACAAATATATGATAAACCATGTAAACAGCAACAAACAACAAAAGACCACTAAGTTACAGGCTTCTGACTTCATGGACTTGGGACATGCACCAGACCTGGGGTCAATTACATGCCAAAGTAATTAATTACATTACAATTACATTGATTTTTAAATGTAATTAATTACATTTCAATTACTTTTGTCCAAAGACATGTTAGAGCTATTTCATTTTAAGTAAAATCATAAAAATGACAACAGGCTAAAATAGAATGAAACTTTTAAATATACATACACTTTATAACAGTGAAAAAATTTGTACAAGATTTGTTTTAAGTATTCAAATTTCTAATGTCATTGTTACATTTGATCACCATTAGATTTGAAATGCTTATTATTTGATTGCATTTCTTATTTTTGTGGGGGGAAAAATCATAAAGATATCTTAATTTCAAGTTTCTGCTAAAAATATTAATTTAGATTTAAAGGTTTTCTTATGTACCTCATGTGAAATTTGAAGTAACTTTAAAGCTTCCATTTATTACAGAAGAGTAATGTTAACATTTTCCAGACTTGTCTTAAATTGGCAAGTCAAAATTGTCAAGTATATTGGAATCCATTCGTGTACGTTTTGACTGCTGTATTCAAAATTTTGTAGAAAGTGTTTAAATAATATCCATCTGAACAGATTTTAACATATACATAAGATGGTTTAAAATAAAAATTGTCTTTGGCATTTTAATCAAGGGACATACTTGTAATTCATAATTAGTTAAGTGAAAGAAATAACCTAGGGCTAAGATTATTGTTAATTGTTAGAAAAACATATTTACAAATTGTATGTAAATAAGTTGGTATTTTTTTTTTTTAGTTTTTAGATTTTTTATGTAAACATGTGAAAAAATTAATGAATTAAATACAAATAAAGATTATTATACATGCTATTTTTTTCATCATGATAAACATGATAAATATATTTAAAAAGTATTTAAAAAAATCAAAGTACTAAGTGCATACTAAATGTACAGAAAAATAGAATTTGAAGTTACATCAGAAAGCCAATAATGTTTAAAATTTCCCAGCAAATATTTAAATGTAATCCAAAGTAATTGAAAAGTAATTCATAATTACATGGCAAAAAGGCAATGTAATTCATTACTTTCAATTACATGTAATGTAAATATGCTCAATTACACATTACATTGAATTACTTTCAAAATTGTTATTAATTACAGCTAATTACAATTACATTTTTAATGACCCCAGGTCTGACATGCACATACTGTAATGAAGAATGTGGTGGGGTTAAACATGTCCATGATTCTGTGTTGATTGTTTATCAAGGTCACCTGTACATGAACAAAAAAATGTATTTCAAGCACATAGCCAAAGGTTACATATATATAAATAAGAAGATGTGGTATGAGTGCCAATGAGACAACTATGCATCCAAGTCACAATGTATAAAAAGTTAACAATAATAGGTCAAAGTATGGCGAGCCTTGGCTCACACCATACAGCAATATATACATGTATATATACATGAATTTACTTATTTGAATTAGCTTCATATGTAAAAGATGAAAGGATTTTGATGCAATTACTGAATATTAGATTATTTAGTACATAAGTGCAGTTTTATTGACTTTTTTTAAATATGACAAATTCAATTCCGCATTATCTAATACTAATTTAAAACTACATGTATCTCATTAGGGCATACTATACAGTAGCTAGGGCAGATAATAATGCTTCCAAACTTAATGTGTTGTTTTTGCAAAGTTGCTAATAATTATTAATATACATGTAATCATCTTGAATTTGAAAAAAAATACTAACGTCATCAAATCTTAAAAGGAAAACAAACATGTTGTATAATTGTGTTGCATTAAGAATACATCGCAGTGTAATTTAGCCTCAAAAAAGGAAAATTTGGATCTCCAGCATTTAAAAAACTATATAGTTTTTATGTTTTTAGCTTTATGCTACATGAATAAAAAAATCATATTATGTTGGGGAAATATTTACTTCCTATGATCAAAGTACAAATGCAGTGTTTGCATTTTGTATAAGTAATATATTTCATTTTTAACACAAACACTGATTGTTTTTGTTTTTGTCAGCATATGTACATCATGTACATTTGCAACCTGTCCTTGGCACCACCCGTTTTGACAATTTTCAGTTTTTCAAACAATTGATGTCATTGTTAATTGCTGCTAAAACATTATATGTCATTTGCTGCCAAATTTATAATTTGCTGGCAGACATTTATAAAGGGTCACTGAATCCCAAGATTTGCCAAAAACAAAGGAAATAAATTAAGACAGACTTAACATTAAATTGATTCCTTAAATGTCAAGTACAGTTCACACTAATATAATGCTTTAATCCAAATTTGAAAATGATCAGAAACATTTCTGATACACAGCTGATTCTCACAATTTTCAGGTTTGAATGATGATGCACACCACTTTTTGTCGAGCCTGCAACTTTTGTCGCAAAAGCGATACAGAGATCCTACATTCCATCGTCGTTGGCGGCGGCGTCCACAAATATTCACTCTGTGGTTAAATTTTTTTTAAATTTTAATAACTTTCTTAAACTTTCCTGGATTTTTTAACAAACTTGGACAGAAGCTTGTTTATGATCATAAGATAGTATCTGAAAACATAGACAACAGCAAAAGTAGGCGAGACACTGGGTTCCACAGAATTTTTTTACTGAAATAGGTTTTTTTGATATTTAAAATGTGTGTTTACCATGTATACATAAAACATTTCTACTGAAGAACAAGTTTACCAATTAAAATCTAAAAAGTAGGCACTATCATTACTGTTTTTTGTGTATATATATATATATATATATATATATATATATATATATATATACATCTGGTGATCATTTTATTTGGCAATCGCCAATGGCAGTCAGCAGGGTTTAAGAACATCCGTTGTTCGACCTGCTAGTCAAAGGCATTTTGTTAAAATATACTTTTCCATTTTTTTGGTCTTTTGGAAAATGTTGTTTGTGCTGTATTTAGACCCCTTTACCAAGAAATTTGTTTTGCATGCATTTGTATAAAAATTGCGTTTTTTATCCAACGCAATCATAGGTTTGAACGTTGTTTTCAATTTAGACTTGTTTATATTTTTTCGTTTGGTCTTGTATTATATTTGCCTTCGGGTTTATATGATCCGGTCATCCTGTTTCGACTCTTCAAATTCAAGAGTCTATCCTAAATTGAGGTAAATTATATGGCCTTCCAAATACCGTTTCGATTCCTAACATCATTGAAGAGGCATTTATTGTTGAAATCTGAATATGGTGTACTTATTTTTGCACCTTTTGTTTGCGGTATACCATCTTTTCCGCAAGTTTATTGTTTTCTGTTTGATATTAAATTAATATTTAAGATCCATTTTATTACATCTGGTGATCATTTTATTTGGCAATCGCCAATGGCAGTCAGCAGGGTTTAAGAACATCTGTTGTTCGACCTGCTAGTCAAATGCGTTTTGTTAAAATATACTTTGTCACTTTTGTAGGTCTTTATGAAAATGTTGTTTGTGCTGTATTTAGACCCCTTTACCAAGAAATTTGTTTTGCATGCACACGTATAAAAATTGCGTGTTCCCAATCATAGGTTTGAACGTTGTTTTCAATTTAGACTTGTATATATGTATAAAAATTGAGGTTTTTATCCAACGCAATCATAGGTTTGAACGTTGTTTTCAATTGCGTTGGATAAAAACCGCAATTTATATATATATATACAAATATATAAAAATACAATGTAGATTTTGGTTCTAAAAAAAATTAATCAGCTAACTCAGTATTTCATTGGATTAGCTGAAACTACCACACTCATAACATTGCAACTAATTTGTTGTTACAAATACTTCTTTCTTTTCATTTATGTTTCATTTTGCAATACAGTACACATAGCTGATCATGCTGATAGGGACATAATAATCAGTGTTTTTTAACAGTTCTGTCAGTAGAAGTTGTAATGGAAGATAAAACATGTTTATTTACAATATTTTACCTATCAATTTTTAATCAATCGTATATGTTTATGAAGCATGATAAGTGTGTTTATTTAAACTGTAAATGGCACTTGCGATAACATTCTTGTAATTTGATTAATTGATGCACTAGTCATTATCTGAAACATGTAATGGGTAACAAGGATAAATATTGTGGTCTGATACATTTGTAACTGCTTAATCATGTTAATCATAATATGTAGGCTAGCACAGGGGATAAGTGGGCCAGCAGTACGAGACAATTTTAACTTTGCACATGAATGTATTTTTAATCGCTCAGATACGATGTCAATTTTGTACATTTGTAAAAGTGAAGTAGCCTTCATCTTATATCATTGCATTAGAATTATAAATATTCCTTTGAAGTTATTAGTAATAATAATTATCTTCATTGTCTTCATGGAACAGATGCCAAACATGTTAATAAGGTCCATGGAATTACTCTGCTTAACTTTACAAATATACATGTACATGTACATCTATTCCTTATCTCTTCTTGTTCATCTTTAACTTGTAAATATGAATAAAATGTAGAGAAGGCATCAATAAGACAGCAACTCAAAAAGCAAGATCTATATTAGCTCCCTAATTCATGCAGTAATTATATAGCTGTTAATCAGATTAAAGTTTTTGATTAAGCCCTAAAGAAAACAACACTATATCTGTATTAGGTACCACTATTGTATTATTGTTTGAGTAGAGTTAAATGTTGCATCATGATATGTACTTACAATGTTGTGAGAGGTTCTGTGGAAAACCTTTTGATAATTATGTAAAATTTATTTATGTTTCTAGGGAAGAAGTTAACAACCATAGTGTATTGTGGAAATCCAAATTTAGTTTCCAGTGTAAAATTACAGCCAATGCAAACACAGGGTATTTAGACCCATGTATGTGTAGAATATCTGTTCGAAGGGTAGGTACACATAAACAGAAAAGACTAACAATGATGCATTTGACATTTTTGTTGACTATACATATAAACTTTTACACTGATTCAAACATAGCTGACTTTGTTTACTTTTGCATGGAAGTACTGATCTAGGGCCGTTAAAACTTTCTTCATTCCATTAGGTCATTTCCTTAATCCTATGATAAAAAGATAGTATCTATTGTTATAGTTTTTTAATGATACATTCTAAGAATGCTATATATTCTGGTCATATTGACATGTAGTGAAATTGAAAGTCTTATTTGGACCTTTTACAGCTGATATGACGGTATGGGTCTTGCTTATTGTTTAAGGCTGGACAGTAACTTATAGTTGTTTACATCTACGTCATTTGGTCTCTAGTGGAAACATGTGTCATTGGCAATCATACCACATCTCCTTATTTATACATGGAAGTACATGTATACCCAATTCTGAACATAAATGTACCATACAGTGTCAGTTGACCCACTTTTGATGTACCTACTTTTTGTCAAGAGCCGCTTTTGTAAAATTCTTAAGAAGTATATCAGAAACCTAAAACCTCATTCATTTCAAGTATGCGGTATATTACATGTATCTAATGGTTAGACATACTTAATTGCCATTCATGAATAACTTATATAGCCAATGTATTCAATTATAGAATGCCATGGGACATCTAAAAATATCTACTAATTGAATGATAAAAACTATTTTTGTAATGTGTACAACAGAAAGATCATAGAATGTCAATTAAATTTACATTATTGATATGTAACCTGGTTAGGGATAACATAATTAACATGTAAATATAGGACCTTTGACCAATGTCTCTTGTGTTGAATTTTTCCATTAAGAAATACATTGGATGCCCATGGCCAGATTAAGTTAGTATTGTAGTACATGTATTGTATAGTTAATTGTCCAGTTAAAACTGAGTGTAGTTTTCTTGGTTATCATCTTTCAATTCCATGTATAAATACATAATTCTAAGGACTTTTTATTTTAAAAAATTTAGAAATGATTTAGTTCATGAACATACTTTAAAATCAAAGGTCAGGAAACGGTCATATTTATCAATCATTACCGATTTAAAAATACAACTAACTGAAAAGATTTCCCTAATCATCATCATGATATTGAGTATTTTATTATAATTTTTTTAAACTTTAAAGGAAAAAAATTAATTAAAAAATCATGAAAAATTGACATATTTGCCATGTGCCATCAGCAAATTTATACCCTGAATACAGCGGCGTCAACAACGTATTAGTTTGTCTAGTTTATGGTGAACCACTAGTGGTAGGTCAATGGTATTTCGTATGCAGTTGTATTAGCTATTTGGCCCCGCCCCCTCAGTCATGGTCTATTGACTTTGAAACTTTTGCTTAGTTTACATGTATTAGTTTGTGATTAGGTCAGTTTAAGGGAAACCATTAGTGTTAGGTCAATGATATTTGGTATGCAGTTGTATAAGCATTGGCATATCTCATTCCCATGGAGATTATTTGGCCCACCCCCTCAGTCATGGTCTGTTGACTTTGAAACTTTTGCTTAGTTGACATGTATTAGTTTGTGATTACTGTAATCAGACTTGTATTGTTGGCACTGGTACATTGACCACACCCCCTTTCTCGCCACGAGAATTCAGGTAAAAAAACTGTTGTAACTGTTAAAAAACGTCCAATGAAACTCTGGTAATTTCAAATCGTGTGTGATCATTTGCGGTATTTTCATGGAAAAACCCATAGAAGTTGAAAATGCTTGAAAATGATTCTAAAAACTTAACCAGTGTTAAATTAAGTCAAAATCACAAAAAAAAACCAATTTAGAAACTTGTGCATGTTTAAACCGGAAGTTCGAATAGCACGTGTATGAAAATACATACAGTGAGAGTGTACGGAAATTCCGTACCTAATAATTATCACTAGAATACGGCTTTGAAAGTAAAACAGTTCAATCCTTGAGTAAAATAATGTTGAACATATCTTTCACATTAATGTTTGAAGGATCTTAAGCTAAAACAAATCACATGCGTCAGTATGAAACACCAAAACGTAACTAATAACCGATTACGTTTTGCAGTTTATTTGGGAACTTCATCCCCAATTACGGTAGAAAAATCAACAAAAAAATATAAAAAAAAAATCAATCTATTAATGAACTCAAAATCGTTAACTTTTTTTTCAGACTTTTTTATTTTCCTGCATTTGCGGAGATATCTCTTTCTTTCTTCTGGTCTCGTTTGTCCGAAGACTTGTAAAATATTGGAAGGAGCATCATATTGTTTCCCGTATATTTGTTGTTTTTGATAATTCTTTGATAAGAAAAAAAAACAAAAACGTTACCTTATGATAGCGTTTCTTTGTTTATATTGAAAATGACGTCACAACTAAAATCCCCAACAACAGGACCAACGTTGGAAACGTTTCTGTATTGTCGTTTCTTTTTTAACAGATTCTGAAGTTAAAATATGCTTGAATTAATACAAATAATGTATACAGACTTCGTCCCCTTTCACAGGTAACGCCTGCCTCATATTACATCGTTATGCATAAGCTGGTTTCAACTGGAATCCACTTGTATTACGCTACACCCAAACAACTGGTAAGGCCCAGTCTTGTAGGGCAAAATTTTGCCCTGGAGATTTTAAAGAGATTTGATGGTACTTTGTTACATAACAACTTACAATATCCGAAAATGTAAACAAACAGAACAGTTATTTGTTTCTTGTTACATAAAGCATAACATTAATGAGTAAAATGAATTCCTATTCTAAATTTAAATAAACTAATGCATTATAAAAGAAATAAATATTGAAAAAAGGCATCAATTTGAAATCAAATAAAATTCCGCCTTACTCCATGAATGATTTGGGCACATAAACGTCATGATAAACGTGACGTCATACAAAATGAAAACTTTCGATCTTAAGGCTATTAAGATACATGTATGTCCACTGAGGATTTGACAGTAAATTTTAGCCAATGAAAAAATTGTTTCATAAAATTGATGGTTTGAAAAAAAGAATATTCTTTCAATATTTATTAGTTGATTTGCGATAACATTTCTTGGATTGCAGCATAAAATAAAATTTCATGTTTACAATGGGAATTGCGGTATAATACAAGTGATTTGATTGAATGATGGAAAAAGTCTCATGACTTATCAGATTCTACAATTGATCGGATCTCACAGTCTGTCTATGAACAAAGTGTAGTAGTCAGTCGAGAACCAGTTTACAGCTTATTCAAGGTTGACTTTACAATTTTTTTCGTTCCTTTAACTTCAAGCAGATTCCAGTTTATTTTAAGCAATGCAGTGAAAAGAAATGAGAAGTTTGTAGTGAAGCATTTAATTTTGAAATTTATCAGTTTATATTTGGTATTGAATTAAAATTACATAAATAATAAGGATTAGGTAAAATTAGTAATTTTGAAAATGGTAAGAGCGCCCTCTACAATTTCAATAACAAACATGGCGGAACGTAAACAAACCTCACGAAATAGAATTTTTTCTCTTATTTCTTGCTTATCATACTCTATAGTCCGCACCCCTGTCTGGCAGGTTCAATTTTGGAGAATAAAACTGTGGACTATACAAGCCTGAATTCGGTAGGTCAGTTTAAGGGGAACCATTAGTTGTAGGTCAATGATAATTGGTATGCAGTTGTATAGGCGTTAGCACATCTCATTTCCAAAGAGAAGTTTTGGTTATAACTCCTCAGTCATGGTCTATTGACTTTGAAACTTTTGCTTAGTTTACATGTATTAGCATGATTCAGGGGCGGATTCAGGCGGGGCGTGGCGGGCGTGTGCCCCCCTAAAATTTGCATAGCATGGGTAGTCCTCAGCTCAGTAAAGAATATTTCGATAATTTTACCTCAAAAAAATTTTCACCTCGCTCCACTCAGCCAAAATTTAAGTTTGCGCCCCCCTAACCTAAATTCCTGGATACGCCCCTGTGATTAGTTTGTGATAAGATCAGTTTAAGATGAACCTCTTATGTTAAGTCAAAGCTATTTGGTATGCAAATGTATTGGCATTTACAAGTCTCATTTCCATGGAGATTATATAGCCCCACCACCTAATCATTGTTCATTGACTCTGAAACTTTCACAAGTTAATGTTTGTGCTTAGGTTTGTTTAAAGGGAACGACTTATGATAAGTCAATGGTATTTGGTATGCAGTTGTATTGGCATTGGCACATCTCGTTTTCATAGAGATTGTTTAGCCCTGTACCTTCAGTCATGGTTCATTGACTTTGAATATTTGCATAACTTACATGTTAAAGTATTGCTATTTTAATTTCAACATTTGCATTATCAAAATAACAAAAAGCCAAGACATATCTCTGTGTTAACTTTTTATTTATATATTTTCAATGCATTTCCATTTGTTAATTAAACTTTGTCATATCAGTTGTTAAATGATTTGGTCTATTAATTTTTTCTTTCAGAATCAATTAACACTATCTACCTTCCAGTGCATGTTTGATTACCTATTCTTTCATCACGGTTTTTCCCTTGCACTTGCCCTGTGCCGTTGCCGAAGTTCTAATGAGACCTTGTGTTTAATGTCACTGCTTACTGAAAAGCTATCGACGAATTAGAGTATGGAAAGACAATAATTCAATAGCTGTATATTTCCAAAGTTTTTGATAATTTTAAAGAAATTTAAATAAAACTTAGCTTTTTAAGTATCCAAAACATATTTCAACTTTTTTTAAAAATTTTAAGAATCATATTACATGTATGACTTTAACTATTGGTTATAAAAATAATTTTTGTGTTATATAAAATTGGAGATGGGGTAGGATAGCCAATGAGACAACAAATTTCAAATGAAGTTGATCATGTTGATGTAAGCAATTATGCCATAGTTAATTTTTTGTACTGTTAATTTTTCTGTGAAGATAACTTTGAATACAGTAAACAGTCCATCATTTTGTTTTACAGCTGTTTTTGTTGTCACACTTATGGTAATTATCAACTCCTCGTAGAGAATAGACAGAAACTAACATCTACTTTTTAACTTCTACAGTGAGTGATGTTATTCACTTCCTGTTTCATTTTTTCATTGCATTGAATTTCTTTTCCATTCAACATGGTCTTTTGTTTGGTTCAAAGGGTTAAGCATTTTCCAAACTTCTCCTAGATAATACTGTGGATACTGACTACAGGAAATGATGTTCTACACAAGGCTTAAGATATTGGGCAGTTAGTGTGAAGGAAGTAGCTTTCCCGTCCGTCATTTTACTTTTTGTTGACCACTATAACACGATCTAAGGAGTTTAAACAGTTGCTTTCGTCCTCAATAGTTTTCATCAAGTTGATGTGAAGGCAATTTTTAATTTATAAGTAAAGAAATTCAAAGATGCAAGATGATTAATTCCTTAAAAAACGAAGTGAAAACATTGATTTTGTAGACTGATTGTATGTTATTTCAAAAGATCAACTTTTTATACAATCATCAAAGTATTTTCTTTCACTTCCAATACTTGTTACACAAGCAACATAAGAAAATTCAGAAATCTTACAGAATCATTAATTTGTTAAATTGCCATTAGTAAATGTTTGACCCATTTATTGCAATAAAAATATGAAATTTCTTTTTAAATTTCTTGTAAAAGATTGTTTATTTTTGTAAATTTTTCCTCAACCCACATTGAAATTATGCTGTCCATGGATTGAAGGCATACCAACATTGACTGAAATCTGTATTCTTACAATAATAACTACAGACCTATGCAAAGTTCACCTGACAGGGGAATAATGAGCACAGAAGTGAAAAATCTGCATTCAACAAGCATAAATGATTACCTTAGTTAGAAGTATATACATTGTTTTTTTAATGCAAATAAATTGCTTCAATTTAACAATTTAAGTTGCTTAATTTTGTAAAATATTTACATTTTGTAATGAAAAACAATAGATACCATAAACATGATAAACATAATAGTTAAATTCCTCTTGAACTTTAATCATGTTAATTGATAAACATATTTTTTGTTCTTTTTTGTCTTTAAATCTGAAACAGTAGTAGATACTTAAATGACAATTCCTGACTAGTGGAAAGCTATGATTGTGTAACTATGAATGAAAATTTTAGACATAGACTAAGACAAGATTTGTACAGTACAAAAAATAATTAAATGAGTAGGATTCAAATAGAAAGATATATCATTGTTAAAACCAAACAATAGAGCCACGAGCATACAAGCACTTCTCTATTTAGTCTCACCACTTCTTCCTATCAGATTTAAAAAGAATGGCTACTTCTCTATATGATTCTGAAGTAGTGTGATCCCTGATGCACCACTTGATATAATTAAAGATTAGATTTTTTTTTAAAGTATCTCATGCATGTATCCTAACAAGCAGTTTAAATTTGAACCAGAAGAGACACACACTTGTAATTAAACACACCTGATGCTATGTTGACACCAGTATTATTGTTTTCCTTATTCATAAATAAATTTAGCATGACAAGATATATATTGGGTTTCTTTTTTATTTACAGGAACTCAAAGGAGGGAAAGCATCTCATAAATTAGGTTTTGTAGATATAAATCTGTCAGAGTTTGCTGGATCAGGGAAACAGTCACGAAAATTCTTGTTGGAAGGTTATGATACCAAACATCGACAAGACAACTCTACTGTGGAAATAATGATAGATATGAGATTGGTATCAGGAGATCCAATATATAAAGTGTAAGTATTGCCATGAATAAGGTTAATCTTATGAGAAAAATGAATGTAATCTAATGCATGGCAGTTGAAAAAAAACAACACAAAAATTGATATGTATGATAAAATGTATGGCTTTCAAATAATTAAAGGGGCCTCGGTGGCCAAGTGGTCTAAGTAGTTACTACTGTAATCACTAGCCAGTCAACACTGAGGTTGTGAGTTTGAACCCCGCTCGTGTGGGTGCACTCGACTCCAATCTTAATTGACTAGGATTGTCAGTTTTCCTATCGAAGGTCGGTGGTTTTCTCCGGGCACTCCGGCTTCCTCCACCAATAAAAACTGGCCGCCACGAAATAGCCCAAAAGCGGTGCTTAAAAGTGGCGTTTAAACAAAATCAAAAATCAAATCAAATAATTAAAATTCCAGAAAAAGAATGAATGTCATTTCAAAGCATAATAAAACACAGGAAAAGATAACTACAGTCAAACCTGGGTATACCTAACCCTGAATAAACTTGTTTCCTGTCCATTCCGGCTGAAAATTAAAGTCCCATTTCCCCCTTCAAAGTTTTTGTAAAAATACCCCCTGTAAAAAATGGACCCTGTGTATTCCAAATTCCGGTTTAATGATGCAGTCCCAATACTCTTCATCTCATTAATTATTACCTGTCAAAACAGGTTTGTTTAATGAAATTAATATGATAACAGTATTGATCAATATGCAATCAAAACATAATTGTGTATACAAGATGGTTTTACAGGATAATCAATTAGCAAGGTGTTAAACCGTGAATTTGCCATAGTGAGCTTTATCATTGAAACACTAGTAAGTTTTAATTAAAATAAACTAAGAGAAATGGCGAATATATCTCAGATAGAACTTACGTTGTAACTTTGATACATTTTTCAAATCTGGGAATAAGGTTTAAGAAATACAGGGTTCCAAAACCAATGACCCTAATTATCAGGGCCTGATAATGAAGACCCAGATGACGACATTCCGTTGTCAAGTTTATGGGTATCGTACATTGAACAACAATGTTTCGATCATCATGAAATTTCGTTTGATAAAATTCTTGCTTTTTAATTGGCTATACCAACATAGGAAATGAACGATGGAAGTAAAACGAGACTTTCATTGAACAATTCAAACAACGCAAGGACTCAGATGCAAATGAAAACAATGAACTCAGAGTGAAAGTGAAACTGACAAGTCGGAGACTAATGCTACCAAGGTCGATTTGACATACAGGGATATTTAAAAAAAAGTTATAGCATTATTTTTTTTTAATTTGGGAAAAAAACCTATTTCTGAAATTTATAAAGCCAATGAATACGAAGACTCAAAACAACGATCGTGCGTAGATAAATGGTGAAAAGGCAGGGAACACTTGTTATGTTCATGTCACAATATTTTAACACAAATCATGACATAACTTTTAATAAATAGATTTTTATGGTATTTCTATTTATTAGTTTACAATGTACAATTAGACAAAACTTTTACATGCAAAAAATCTGACGTCCCATGTCAATAACTTCTTGTCAAAACGGAAACCTTAATAATCTGATCCACTGTCCAAACTGGCCCTTTTTGTCGAGCCTTCGACTTTTGAGACATAATGATCCTACATTCCGTCGGTGTCGGCGGCGGCGGCGTCCACAAATATTCACTCTGTGGTTAAAGTTTTTGAAATTTTAATAACTTTCTTAAACTATCCTGGATGTCTACCAAACTTGGACAGAAGCTTGTTTATGATCATAAGATAATATTCAAAAGTAAATTTTGTAAAAAAAAAATCCATTTTTTCCGTATTTTACTTATAAATGGACTTAGTTTTTCTGCCAGGAAACATTACATTCACTCTGTGGTTAAAGTTTTTGAAATTTTAATAACTTTCTTAAACTATCCTGGATTTCTACCAAACTTGGTAAGAAGCTTGTTTATGATCATACGATAGTATCCAGAAGTTAATTTTGTAAAAAAAAAAATCCGTTTTTTCTGTATTTTACTTATAAATGGACTTAGTTTTTCTGCCAGTTAACATTACATTCACTCTGTGGTTAAAGTTTTTAAAATTTTAATAACTTTATTAAACTATCCTGGATTTGTACCACACTTGGACAGAAGCTTTTTTATGATTAAAAGCTAGTATCTAGAAGGAAATTTTGTTAAAATTTTGTTCCATTTTTTTCCGTATTTTACTTATAAATGGACTTAGTTTTTCTTCCAGTTAACATTACATACAGTCTGCAGTTTAAGTTTTTAAAACATTTATTAGATTCATAAACTATCCTGCATTTTTACCAAACTTGGACAGAAGCTACTTACAATCAAAAGATAGTATAGAGAGGAATATTTTTATTAATTTTTTTCCTCATTTTTGTTGAGCCTGTGATTAACAGCAAAAGTAGGCGAGACACTTACCAATTTTTCATAGTCCCATAGCCGTCCGGTTTATACAGGTTTTACTGTATATATATATTTGAATAAGAAGAATGTCAAAACAATACAGAAAAGTTAATAGTTGTTATGTTATATTTCCATTAATCTTTTTATAAAAGATTCCATTTTCCCCTTTCATACTCTTAACAAACTGTAACAGACTGCAGTTATGCATGTATCTCCATTCTATTATTCTATATATCACTTGTGTAGCTGCAACTCATTTTAGAACATATAAAGACAGTATTAACAACATATTAACATTTCAGTCCTACAAAACCACATACAGTGCCAGGGGATGTAACTGCAGCAGATTATCCTGAACCACACCCAGCAGGACCTCTAGATGATCATAGTGAATCCTCTAGTGGTTTTGGAAGTCTAACACGCAAAGAAAAGACAAATACAGGTATCCATTAATACATATGCCTTATTATGGTTTTGATCAAGATTTAAAGGCTCAATGAACATGGAAATGTGATAATGTGAGCAGGGCATGGTGTCCTGTAGACACATATGTTTGTTTTTTAATATGTTAAACTTTCGAGTTATTACCTGCCCCTGCTACTGCATTGTATGCCCTTACGTTAAGTATGAATTATGAAAAGCTATGCTTATTCTCTGGATAACTTTATTTATGATATACTTCTAAAGCAGACAGCAGCCTTTAGTTGAAGACAGTATGTCAATGTTTCTGTCTGTTGACCTTTAGATGTAGTTTTGTTGTATGTTTGGGTTGCTGTCTCATTGAAGTTTACCCAGCATCTTCTTTATTCATACATCAATTTGATGTTAGTTTCTTTTGTTATTGTGGTATTTTCCGATAAATTAAAACCACTTAAAAAATTGCAAAAAAATAGCAAGACAAAATTATGAAATTTTAACCCCATGAAAATTAATTTAAAAAGTAAATAAAACCTTTAAGTCATGATCTGACTTTAAAATGTAAACATTGAAAACTGATATAGAAAAGACTTTTATTTAAATAAATGTGTTGTATTTATTAAGATTTGAATACATCTCATGCACAAATGAGAGAAGTACATGTCTACAAAACAAGAAATTGACTTTTTAATATGGAAGAAAACATGTCGACCTGTGAAAAGTACAGACATTGGAGAAATAAACCATGCAAATTAAAAAAAAATGCTACAATGTATTAGCTTTCTTATCTTGATATTTTACAACAATTCTTGCATTATTTTTTCAGACAATTTAGAATTAGACCATGGTCCAGAATTCATAAAAGGCCATTCTCGGAATGATAGCTATGCAAGTCAGCAATCTCGTGGGTCAACAGGGTATTCCTCACAACAGCATAGTAGGCAGTCTAGCCTAGGAAATGATAATCCTACACATACAAGGTAATGCACATAAAAGGCTATTAAAAAATGAACATATGTAGGTTATAAAAAATAATGTCTGTCTCCAAATGTAATGGAAAAGATGTGATAGGAAGGTCTTGAAAAATATATTTTAGTACAAGTCAAAGTGAAAAAGACATTATGAAAAAAAACCTGAAACTTTGAAGACGGGTGATATAATTTTTTTTTGTAGAATTTCTTGCTCTCATGCAAACTTGATCATGTCACGTTAAACTTATCTCTAGACATAGATCATAGGTAAAAAGTTATATAACCATAAGATGGTGCGACACATATCACCATGACTTCCATGTGACATTGACCTTTGACCTCAAGTTTAATTTAAATGAACTTAACAGAGAGGGGGTGTTTTCATGTCCATACCCAAACCAGATATATTCTTGTTTGCGTTGCTAGATCTTTTATGAGCACCATATATATTGGAACATGCATATTTGATTTATATTTACAGAAGTCCCAGTGCTGGTTCAGCTTTACAGTATGATCTCAAGAGGGGAAAGGTATTAATTTGAATCTGTTTGTAATTGTATTGGTTATTATATTATACAGCTCTCTTCTCGTGAAAGTTGTCACCCTTACTGCAAAAAATTAAAATAAATGGCAATCATTTTAAGGTGCACAAGTAACTCCGACAGGATTTACCTGACCTTGACATTTTTATGCCCCATTTATGGGCATTATGTTTTTAGGTCTGTGTGTCTGTTCGTTCATCCGTCTGTCTGTCCTGCTTCAGGTTTTTGGTCAAGGTAGTTTTTGATGAAGTTGAAGTCCAATCAACTTGAAACTTAGTATACATGTTTCCTATGATATGATCTTTCTAATTTTAATGCCAAATTAGAGTTTTGACCCAAATTTCACGGTCTATTGAACATAGAAAATGAAAGTGCGAGTGGGGCATCCGTGTACTATGGACACATTCTTGTTAATCAATTTTTATTTTTCAGGATACATGTATCAAGACCTTGAACTTAAATTTCTTCATAGTTTTAATTATAATCAAATATGCAGACGAACCACTTCAGCTTGTCCACCATCGTTGATTGATTTCCTCAAAAGATTGAAGATTTATTAGTCCCCTACTGACGAAGTCGATGGGGACTTTTAGGTTTGCACTCCGTCTGTCTGTCCATCCGTCAGTCTGGCAAATCAGTTTTCCACACTTTTTTTCTTCATGCTTGAAGATATTGATTTGATATTTGGTGTATTGGTTTATCATGACAAGGTACAGATCAAGTTCAAATTTTGTTCCGGTCTGATGATTTTGTGGACTTAAAAAAAATTCACTTGAATAATCAGTTTTCAACACTTTTCTTCGTCATGCTTGAAGATATTGACTTGATATTTGTTATATAGTTTACACCATGACAAGTTATAGATCAAGTTAGAATTTTGTTCCAATGCAATGAATTTTTAACCAGTAGGGGACTATGTATTGCCATGCAATACTAACAGAATGTTTGTTTGAGCTTTGAGAAGGAATACTTGTACAAAGACATGATCAATTGACAGCCTATGTCTAAATAAGGACAGACAACACTATGGCCAAAGAAAAAAAAAACATAAAAATAAAGAACAGTCTGCTAATCATTACAAAAAACATTAAAGATATAGCATAATGATTGCCATAGAAAATTGGGGGTGATCACAGGTGCTCTGAAAATATACACAGTTCTGGAACAACAAGTTTTATTTATTATCTTGATATTGACCTTCTTTCTGGTAGGATTTATTTGAATTGGAATTAATTTTTGTTTCTATTTTTTCCTATGAAAACAATGGACAAGTTCCATTATCAAATAATCTGCAATGGGACAGCATTTTAGAGGAAAGAAACTTGTAGAAATATTACAATAATTCCTGCTCCTGTGCATAGTCTTCAGATAAAAAGAAGATATATTCTTTTCAAAACTTTGAAGAGGTTAACATTTCTACAGCATGAAATTAAGAATTGTCATTTTTTGTCGAGTCTACGACTTCTGTCGCAGAAAGCGAAACTTAGGGATAGTGATCTGGTGATGGTGGCGTTAACTAACTACTTAAAAGCTTAATATTTCAGAAGGTAGAAGACCTGGATGCTTCATACTTTGTATAAAGATACCTTATGTTATGAAGTTTCCACCTGTCATATGTCCAATGTCCTTGACCTCATTTTCATGGTTCAGTGCCTACTTGAAAAAAAAGAATATTTTTTGTAAACTTAATTTTTTTCTTTTTATGTGTCATAGGATAACTATATTTGGTATGTGCGCACCTTGCAAGGTCCTCATGCCTGTCAGCCAGTTTTCACTTGACCTCGACCTCATTTCATGGATCAGTGAACAAGGTTAAGTTTTCGTGGTCAATTCCATATCTCAGATACTATAAGCAATAGGTCTACCGGTACTATATTTGGTGTATGGAATCATTTTGGAATGATTGTAAGGTGTACATGTCCAACTGGCAGGTGTCATCTGACCTTGACATCATTTTCATGGTTCAGTAGTTAAAGTTTAGTTTTTGTGTTTGGTCTGTCTTTCTAATACTGTATGCAATAGGTCAACTATATTTTGTGTATGGAAATATTTTACGATGTATGTGTCAGTCTGGCAGGTTTTTTTTTACCTTGACCTCATTTTTACGGTTCATTACTCAATGTTAAGTTTTTGTGTTTTGGTCTGTTTTTCTTTAACTATAAGCAATGGGTTAATTATATTTGATGTATGGAATGATTGTAAGGTGTATATGTCTGTCTGGCAATTATCATCTGACCTTGACCTCATTTTCATGGTTCATTGTTCAATATTAAGTTTACCTGGTTAAGTTTGTTTCTTAGATACTATATGCTATAGGTCAACTATATTTAAAGCATGGAATGATTGAAAGGTGTACATGTCTGTCTGGCAGGGTTCATTTGACCTTGACCCCATTTTCATGGTTCATTGGTCAATATAAATTTTGGTCTGTTTCTTGTATACTATAAGCAATAGGTCAACTATATTTGGTGTTTGGAATGATTGTAAGGTGTACATGTATTTCTGGCTTGGTTTATCTGACCTTGACCTCATTTTCTTGATCATGTCAAGTTTATGTGATACTTGTAGTAAAACTTTATATTTAGGACTTTTCTTGATCATGTCAAGTTTATGTGATACTTGTAGTAAAACTTTATATTTAGGACTATCACCATAAAATCAATGGTCAGTAAAGCAGGCGAGACATTGCAGCATGTGCACTCCTGTTTTTAATTGAGAGGGAAATTGCTATTTTTCTTGATAAAGGGCTGTGATTAAGCAAATAAAAGGTGTTACAGTAGCAAGTGTAGGGCTTCAAAAATAAAATAATTCACATCTTATATACTTAATAGGAAGACATTATTTGTGATATCTCCAATAATACTCCAGAACAAAACTACATGAAGTAGAATTAGCCAAAAATCAACAAAGCTTGAAACAACAATGGATCCTTATGTTCAAAACTCATATACAATGTAATAAAACAGCAAAAAATATAGCACAGCAGTATTTAAATGAAATATTGAACAAAACATTAAAATACAAAACAGGAACACATCAAAATAGACAGAAACTAGTTTTCCAGATATATTCAGATTTCAGTATTGCCCTCCTACTCCATCAGCCTATGAGAAGTGTGAAGTGTTTTATACTGTACATTTTATTCCAATATTTATAGAACCAGAAATGGTAGAGAGAAGTAACAGTAAGTGGGAATTATAAGGAAGCAATGATTATAAAGGAATAAAAACTATACTATAGGTTTAACAATAAAACATATGAATATTGTAGGTAAAGGATGATTCTATTAAAGTTCGGAGAGTAGATGATACAAGGGTAGATGCAGAAGATCTTGTGAATGAACTTCTTAGTTCTGCTGATTTTGGTTTGAAAGATCAAAGTGAATGTAAGTTTGAAAGCTAAACTGTATAGAATAGGTCTTGTATTGCACCACATATTTTGTTTATGTGACCAAAATAACTGGATGAGCTAAAACCATAGATATAATGTACCGTAGAAACTCGCCTAATAGTCGATCCTACTATAAGTCGGGGGCCCTATTCAACTCCAAATTCTAAGGATTTAGTCTTGACCCTCGTATAAGTCGGACAAAATTTGGGCATTTTTTTTTTCAGCTGACAGTAACTGAACGCCGGTAAAACCAATGCTAATTCCAGGAATAATATTCATTTCTGCATTAATGTTTGTTTGGTTTGAATTTAGTTGATGCTCATCATGATAACTTGTATTGCTGTTAATAATAAAGATGTATTCATTTCTCTTGTTTTGTTCACTGTTCAAATGTTAGATTAGCCATGTGTTGTTTATATAATGCATCAATGATTTTGTAGGGTATGACTAACAACCTATTGTTTGAGAAAAGCGAATATAAACCAATATGAACCTGAAAAATTTAAAGTCAATCAACACTTGATGAAAATATTTTTCACAGCATACATAACTCGGTGTCAAATGAGCATGTACACTTCATAATTCTTATTATATTGTGGTGATTAAAGGATTAAAAAAATTAAGTGAAGTAATCAATATATTAAAATAACTAACTCCAACTCATTAGTGTCATCTGTTTACCTATCACTGACAGTTTTCACACCTTTAGTAAATACAACTCTTTGTCTCTTAATTGGGGTTATCAATGGATTATGTATATGTAAGACAATGATAACCCCTTGGTTCATGAATAAGTACGAGCGTTAGCGAGTACTTATCATGAAGTAAGGGATTATCATTCTCTTACAAACTTAGAATATTGTAAAGTGCTCAAGGCTCAAATGATCTATTCAAGAATTAGTTTCATTGTCAGTGCAATGTTTATAATTGATGCATGACTTCCTTTTTCGGCATGTCATTTATGGATAAGTTTTAGTGGTGTGAGGATTTTCTTATCATTTGGGAAATATTTTTATAAAAAATGCATTATAGATATTAGGTGACACAACAGTAGAAAGAAAAGGTAGGAATTGTATGTTTCCTGATTGTGAGTATGAATGTAAATCATGTAATATTTTAGTGAGGAATTATCCTTTTTTATTTACAGTTTAAATCAATTAATACATTTGAGTTACAACTAAATTTTATTTCACAGCCAATAATTTAGTCCGGCTTTTTACATCAAATACTGTTTCATTATGTCAGGGAAATGTTCAAAAATAATGCCCTTAAAAGTTTTTAATACTGTTTCATTATGTCAGGGAAATGTTCAAAAATATTGCCTTTAAAAGTTTTTAATATGTTCAAAATTAAATTCCTGTTTTTTTATCGGAATACATGTATTGGAAATAACTATTCTCCCCAACCGCTGATCAAGTAATCAAAGTTTTGGAAAGCTAAAGATTTAGGTTATTTTTTATCTGAAAGATTTAAAAAAAATTTTTTTTTGCATTGCTTTGGTATTGTTTAATTTTATAGTAATTTGAAGTTATTAATATTTTCATAATAAAATTCACGGAACCAATTTTACTGCACCAGTAAACTTCAACTTATTTTGAGATTTTTGTTTGTTTCACAATTCAACTTTTAGTCAGTTTCAATTACTGTGTGATAAATCCTTTCAATCTGATAAATGTGCTTCAGGGCAGTTGTAACTCATTTATAGAATATCTTTGTTTTGAACTGTTACAGTAAATAGACCTAAATAATAGGATAATCCCTTACTAAGAACATGATTTACATTCAGTCTTCACAATTAAGAGGCATCCAATTCTACAATTTCATTGGTCGAGAGTACTTTGCTATATTCTAAATTGGCTTGTCAATCAATTTTGTAATTTTTGTTTACCTGAGACACTTTAATGAATAATATTTTGATTTTGGGAATGAATCTTAAAATTATTTTTTGATTATTATATGATTTATAAGCATTGAATTGATATCATGATATCACAATAATGACACAATAACTCCGCTGAAAACATCCTTTCACATATTTGGTACATTGTTATCTCCTTTTCATTTTTGGTTCTTGGCTCTTCTTTTGGGTTTATAGGAAAACCATGTGACCATGAAAATCAATACACAAACCGGAAACAGTAGAATTTCAACACGAATTTGCAGAAAATGTTTACCAAAGAACAAATAAAACACAAAGACAGTATTGTAGTCATTTATTTTCAACAAAAACTTTTTATTTATTGATTTATGTAGGTTTGGCAATCAAAAACGTAGTTTTGACCAGGAAATTCACTCCTGACCACTTTTCTCAAGCTTGGATTTTTCCTCTGGTCGCTAGATCTTGTCTATTAGTCGGTCCCCCTCTCTGGATTATGAATTTTACTCCCAATTTTCCGACTAATAAGCGAGTAGGAACGGTATATGCAATTAGTTGACCTCTAAAAGCTTCAGAAATTATGTTGTATTTGACAAAAATAAAGTAAATCATTTGATCTAATGTCTATGGTCCAACTCTCCAAAGTAGATGATTTGTATTGATTTTTATTCAACAGCAATGCGAGCCTCCCATTCTATAAATTTATTTTTTGTCATTTTATTTTAATCACAAAAGATAAGTTTTTTTTCAGAAGATTTTAAAGTTTTATTTATACATCCACCATATTTGTGTTTTCTCTATGTTACCTTGACTAAAGTATTAGGATTTTACCACTAAAAAAACATGTAATGAAATAAATATCTTCTTAACCTAGACTTAGTAGCATCAGTTCAATATTAACACTTTTACTGATATGTTTACACATTTTTCTAATTACAGCTTCAGGGTTAGAGCTAATAGTTGACAAAGATGGAACTACAGCACTTCGATAACATCAAAGACCTATTATGTTAAAAATTTGTCTCATAGAAATACTTGTGTTATATTGAACCAGTATCATATATTCCAATGTAGCATCAACAAATTCTATTTATCTGAACCATCAAGGACATCATAAATAACATGCCATTACTCCAATGACATTTTTTCTCATCTGTAACAGCACAGACTTCATACAAAAAAAAGGGCGTAAAAAATTATAGGAATAAAAGGAGAACAAATATATTTTTAGTCCATATTTCATGTCAAAATTACTGACAGAAAATAAGATTAAGTGTATAAACACTATTGTTACAACATATAGGAATAATTATCTTAACTGCATTGTGCTGTTACATTATGACAAAAGAATGGACATTTATATATTGAAAACAAAATCTTGTTTTTCTATTGCAGTGGCAAAAAAGGCACTAGATATTGGAAATTAATTATATTGCTACTTACAACAAGAACTTTGAAGAGATGTCAGTAAACTCTTACATGTCTCATTTACTTATCATGACATTAAATTGTTGTTTTTTTTACATTGATTAATCATGAAGCATCAAGAAAATCTCACATTTTGTTGAGGAATATACTTAGAAATCATGTCCCAAGACACCAATATTTTTTTATAGGGCTTTGGTATTATTTTGTGAGGTTAATTCAAGCATGAGGTTTCACATAAAGAGGTATAGGTTGGACTACATGACTCAAACCATTTCTTAATAACAACCTTGTTATGGCAACATTTTATTTTGAAGGCATTTATATGATGATAATAGGAGAGTATTACTCTCTGAAATAGTGATTTAAAGCTGTCAGTTGCTGATTAACATGATCCTTGATTTAATAGACGCATCAATACACTCCCATCTTGACATCTAAACTGGTACTCATTATCTAGGATGGTTAACTCATACATCAATCTATGAGAAGGATCATTTGAGATAAACTCTGCCTAATTCCAGGACTGTTTTCTGAATTGAACTAAATGTTTATATGACTAATATACATATCTGTTATTTAAGTACAAATCTTTGCCTAGCTAGATTTACAGTAGAATTTGAAAAATACTAAAGGGCCTTTATTTATCTGATGTGCAGATTAACAAAAGTTATCTTAGACATCATAGCTTAAATATTTTTTTTTCAATTCAGCTGGCCTATAGGGACATTGTAAGCTTTTGCCCTCTGAAATCTGTATTCTTACACCAAATCTCTGAAGCTACTTGGCCAATTAGATTAAACTAGGTAATGACATTAAAGTAGCATGACCTCCATTACTAAAAAAGAACAATAAAAAATGTACAATTGTAACAAATTCCATACTTTTAATTAATGATCTTTTTAAAAGAATTGTGGTTGATCATCCTAACCAACATGTTACATACCCAAAGAAATTATAACAAAATTCAGAAAAAAATACTTATAAAGATATTAAAGTTCCTACCAAAGATTTGGTAATTGATAAATTTATGGTCCTTTGTTGATGACCACAAACTACCATTAAGCTAGGGCCACCAATGTAGGAAAATTAGAAAATATATCAGAAAATTCAATAACAAAAAATCCTAAGATCCTGCTAAGATGTAATTGCAAGGTGACATCCATTAAATGCTGCACTAATGGTCCTTTTAAAGAACTAGGGTTGATCATCCCAAAATTCATTAATCCAGGCAGTTACCGTACCATAAAAATAAATTTGAGAGACAATTTTGAAAAAAGAATCAAATTCCACATCAAGGACCATTGAGAACAAATGAAGTACTTGATTCTCTATAAGAACTATTTCTAAAGACCCCAACTGCTACAATGATCGATTTAGTAAAATGATAAGACCCAGCTGTGGTTCACCTACTTCAGATCATGACAAGTGATCACTAAGAAGGGTTCAAGTTTTACAATGATGGGTTTTACTCCCATATAAATGCATATGGTGGAGTTTGTCAGTGACTTGTCAGTTACCCATAAACATTCATACACCTTTTCTGCTTGTTGTTCTATACATGCCTTTAAAGTAAAATGATAATGGTTGTGTGTAATAACCATTATTTGACAGAATCATGTCTCCGTACATAAGATGGTTCAATTTTTTTATTTATATTTATGTATATAATTTATTTATTATTATAAGTGCTTATTGTTTAAAGATAGATGTATATAGTTAATAAACAAGAGTTGTGAATTACATCATTGTATTTGCTCATTAACAATGTCCATTCTGTACAAATCAAGTGAAGAAAAGTTTAGATAAATTTGTGGGTATTATTTTTATCAATATTAATTTATGTAATAATAGTCTGTGATTAATTTATACTTTTCATTAATTATGTTGTCTTCTATAGAATAATTCTGAACCTTTCTGACTGATGAGTTGCCATAGAAACATTAACCAAGTGCATTTATCAGTATTATATCTGAATGAGATTATATCATATAAGTATTGTACTTTTATTTATCCAGTATTTTGTTACAATTATGAATTTACAATGAGGTATGCTTCCATTACTGCTTCCTCTAGAATTATGTTACCTAGGTTACTATTGTAAAGTTTTATATATGATCTCATATATGTGGGCACTTTCAATTCAGAAATAAATGTGCATTTAGTCATGTAAATTTTATTAAAAAAATCATTTAATTTAAACCAAGGAATTTTAGTATAGAAATGTATATGCTGAAACTTTAAATATCTAATTCTCTTATTTTGATAGGAAAACAAGTCAATAGCATAAATAAATCCTTGCAATTACCCGGTAGACTTGATTACATGAAAACAGTCTCCCAACACTAGAAAATATAATACAAGCTTCAGATAATTAAATGGTTTTACTCTTATTCAGAAAGATGGCTTATCAAAAAGGAAGACAATATTAAACTATAATTCCATGTTTCAGATTATTTTATTTTTTTTATATTTAAATTGTCTTCTTGCTGTGAAAGAAAAATGTGTAGTTAACAGATATTTTACAAAAATGCCAATTATTAACCCAGATAGTCAGTCACATTACCTTTAGTAGCCGATAGAAATTATATAAGGAAAACTTTTAAGAAAATATTGATTTTTTTTTTATTATCTTTTTAGAAATAGAAAGTATAAATGCTGAAAATATCTGGTATTTATAGATTTTTGAATTCTGATTGGTCCTCTTTATACACAAAAGAAATTAAATATTAATAGTATTTATAAGTGGATGATTTTGTAACAATAGTTTATGTGTTATATTGCTTGTTTATGTATTGTTAGTGTGTTCTTGCTCAGTAGTAATTGATAGAATTTTGTATAGGCCAAGCAAAGATTCTTCCAAACACACAACAGTTTTTACAAGGTCATCTGGTGGAATGTCTATAGGAGCTTTTTTATCACTTGCCTCTGTCACAGGGAAATGATCAGCATATCAAGATCTACAAATAAAGCACATGACAAATACTATCAAATTGACTGTTTATTTGAAATATTGCCCTTAAAGGACAATTTTATCCTATTTGTATTTTTGTTTCAAAATCTTTGCCTAAAAATATATTTAAAAACTCTGAATCAACTGAACCAAATTAAAAACAAACTTTATCTGAATGATCCTTTGTTTAAATTTTAGGTCTTAAATTTCATTTGATCTTTCGACCAACATAGCTGCCAAGACTAAAAAAGAATAATGATGGTTTGTTTTTTAAAAAGCCAGAATTTAGCTTTGTTTGGCCTAACTGAGGGAATTTTTAGTATATTTTTTATGCAGTTTAAACATTGTTGTGCCTTGTTTACTCTTTACTGCTGGATGCAGTTGTTTATGTCCAAAATGTAATTTTAGATAAGACAAGTTTGACAACTTTGTTAAAAAATTCTTATAGTAATGAATTGCCAACATAGCTGTATGTTTAACTGCCATTTTATTACCTTGAATTTGAACTTGTTATTTCATGATTGGCTGGCTATAATATATACAGACTGTTCTGCTACACTTAATATTAAATAATTGTATGTGTAGTCAGTTTCTATTTACCTGAAAATAGTATCCAAAGGTATATTGACACTGTTAAACTGCATTAAATTTGTCATTTTTGCAGGGTACCAACTTGGAATGTTGCATATTTAATTGGTCATTATTATACGATTGTATTCAGATATAACAAAAGGATTTTGTTACAGATATGGAAAGTAACATTGGGTAAATATATAAACATGTATGTGTATTTGTTAATTGTTGAAGACTTACTATGCCCCAAATTCCTCTTCATATAAAGAGTTTTTTAATACATTTGATTGAAACTACTTTTTTCAAGATCATATGTAATTGTTTTTTTACTAGTACACCATAGCATAGGCCAATAGTCAAGATCAAATATTTCTCAGTAACTTAAGATTGGTCTGTTTTTAATATAAATACATATCTTTGATTAGGAAAGAGATCCTGTAAGCTTGTTCTTCATGCTCCTTGGTAAATTAATGTGCAGGGCTTAAGCTTTATTATTGCTGTCTCGCTGTTTGCCTTCGTCAAACTGTATTCCATTGTTTGTAGAGAGTTGAGCATAGTTTGAATTTTTTGTTAGATGTGTTTTGGAGGAGGTTTGCCAAAAAGCCAATATCAGGTTAAGAGGGAAAACCAGCTATATGCCATAATGAAGAAAATTGTCTTACTTTATTGCAATTAAACATAAGACATAATCTCTAGTGATTGATAAGGTGATGCTTTTAAAAAGCAATGATATTGAAGGAAAATTATTCTGCCCCTGAATAATGGAGAGCATTGTACAGTATCATTAAGTGCCAATATTTAGGATTCAATACATTGATTTTAGCAAGAGAATGTCACAAGTCATGTTAGTATCATCAGCTGCACCATTTATTCTGTTTTTCCTTGACAAACATTGTAAAGGATTGATTTGTATGATTAGTTCATTGTCATGCATTTTCATTTTAACGATAAAAACCAGTTAGATTATAATTTTAAAAGATATATGAAATTATTATATAAAGTATATTATACACCCATCTCTTGCCTTGTTTGTTACCTTAAACCTCATGTGTGACAAATCCTCAATATCTTAAGCAGCAGATATTAACTAATATCTAAAAAAAGAAGCTAGATGTTGTTTTGATCTTCCTGTTATATTTGTCTTTAGTTCAATTCAATAAAATTGAGGAAACTAATGGATTACTAAGTGACCTCAATTTGTGCACTGATGAAAAATTCTTATTACCAACTTCCAAAATGAGAAACATTACATGCTTTATTTTAAGAGATTCTGTGTCTTATTTACTCTGTCTCATTTTGTAACTACTTTTATTTAACTTTTCATTCTAATATTGTTTCCTGATTTTTCATTGTTTTTGATAAATGGAATTGTTACTTTTGTATACTTCCTAAGGTTTCTTTTATCAGTTCCAAATAATTTCTCGTTCAACTCTTAAGACTATCTCATTGATTGTATCCTTGGATGATGTCTATACAATTTTTAACAGAAATTTTACATTATATGCCATGTACAGAATTGGTTCTAAACTGTTAAAATTCTTGACATTTTTTTCTTTGTACTGTGTTGACTTAAGATACTGTGAATTCACTATTATTCGTTTGATACCAATTTTCATGGATTCCGTGGGTGCAGGTGAACCAGGTGAACCACAAATTTAAATGTTCAAGGAATTGCAAATGTTCTATAGGGTTGTATGCACACTTTGGCAAAACCATGAAATCAAATATCCATGAAAATGCAAATTTTCCTCAATCCACGAAAATTGGTACCCACGAAAATAAATGAATCCACAGTATAACATTTCAGGGCTAAACATGTTTGTACTTGTTACTTGATAAAGGCAGCCTTTAATCTTTAATAATGTCTGCCATAATCTTATTGTGGTGTGATCTGTTTTTTGAAAATATGTAGATTGTCTTATTAATGTTAATACAACTGTTTAAAAAAAACTAATACTGAGGTAATTCTATGTATCTACAGTTCTACTGATGTTAAATATCAACTTCTATATATTTTCTTATTAAAGACTATAAATTTCAGATATTGAAAATTTGCATTTTTAGAAAAATGAAAACATGTTCACATTTTTATATTCTGGACATTATAAACAATCATTGTAGTGTTTTGTCAGTATTTTTGTTAGCTCAGCTTGCCTAAATGACCTTTGTTAGAAGTGTTGCTTACTTGGTTTCAAATCTGCACGAAAACTTTTGACACACATCTCACATGACTGCTAAAACGAAACATTATAAAATGTCTTGATCAGTACAGACACAAAAAGTCATAGGAAACTAGATGACTTCAGCCTTACAGTCAATCTAGCCAACATTATTATAAATAGGAGCTTTTAGAGGCAATTGAAAATATAAATAAGGCAGAATTGAATTAGTTTTTTGCAGGAATATTGCATGTATGTTCGACTTAAAATTTACATCCAATGACCATTACTAGTATCCAAAATGATTAGATCTGTGAAATTATATTAATTTTAAATGGGACCTTTTTTTTTTAGATAGCACAGTCTACTGTGAAACAATAGTCCAAGAAACCTGTAGAGTTTAACTACTACAGTCCTCTTGTACAGAGCAAAGCTATTTAACTACATTTTGGTAACAAACTTTTATCTTATACCATCTTTACATGGATTAAATTTCCATTTACGTGCTGTTGGAGGTTTTCCAAACAATATTTTGGGCAGGACACAAGTATCTTGCATACAATTTATCTTTTTCTTCTCCATGTACATTTTCTTATTTTAAAAAAAAATACAATAAATTATGTAACCAGATTTGTAATAATCATAAAAGAATTGAAAATCATGTGATATCTGAAGATAGGTCATGAATGGCGCTTAGCAAAGGTTTAAAAATCAGAACTTTCGTAAAAAGACATTTCTACATTATAAAACTAAGTGTACTTCTTTTCTTATATATAGTACTTATGTTTTATAGTGATGTTTTGATAGTATTTATATAGAATATATGTATTGAAACATTTTTTAAATAGAATAAATGAACAAAAAGAACTTTTAAGTCTCATCTTTTCCTGTTTATAATATATACAAGCCTAAAGACTAATGCAACAATAATGATATTATAGGCACCCATACGGCCTTCAACAATGGGAAAAACCTATACCATATAGTCGGCTATAAAAGGCCCTGACATGAAATATGAAACTATTCAATTAAGAAAACTAACGGCCTAATTTATAACAAAACAATTTGCAAAAAAACAGACAGACATGAACCAGTGACAACCAGGCTTAACTCATCATATCGATACAAAGCAGACATCAAACATAAACACAGACCAGATGTGGCAGGGTATTTATCCATCCCTCATCCCTAACAACAAAAAGGTGACTAAGTACAGATCTGAGTGTTCTTGCAGTTACTGACAGCTTGTTCAAAGCCAATAACAACTAATAAAAAAGATCATGTTTCTAAGACTAAAATATCAATCAGTACACATCCAACGTCCAATGTATTTAGTGTAAAGACGTCAATAACAGTCGAGAAAGAAAAAAAAAAGTGCTCATATATCCACACTCAAAAGCCACTTGAAGACAAAGGGTTTTAATCACCAGACTCTTTAAGAAATGTTTTTCAGGAAGCGGAGAGTATGACTAGTAGCTAGCTGTTAAAAAACAAGAGATAAAAATTTAAATAAAAGGACTCCATGTGTTTCTAAACTACCACACCTCTGCGAAAAATAGCTTTGGTGTCATTGAGTAGCATAAGAAATAAATTTGAAAAATTCCAAATTATCCAAGATCCTTCTCCCTATGATAGTTTCAGGCAACCAAATAGCTGAGGAATCTGCTGATGAGATCTGGTATTTAAACCCAGTATTGCTTCTGGAGAATACCACTTGTGTGGTGACAAACACTGCAAGTGCTGCACACAGATGTTTCGTTTATAAACATTCATCAGTACGGCCACTCGGGTTAACTTCAAAATACTAAGCGGTGTGTCCTGCAAAAGTTAAAATGTTATTTACATTTAAGATTGTTCTGTTTGTTGCCTCCAATATGTTGACATTCAACAAACCCCCCAATAGGCATAGGAGCCTTTAAACTGCATTCAAGTTTTAATGATTGAACAGAACATCCACTGGAATGAAGATCATGGATAAAGGAACTTGCTGTCCTTTATCCAGATGGTATTAATAGAAAGAAATATCTGTTTTTGCATGAATTCATCAGTGGTATTTTATGCCTGTATCTAAAAATTATTGCATATTCTCATTTATTTGACACTCACAGTTTTAGGAAGAATTAGTACATACACAAACACATTCAGTATCGAGTTTTGGTATTTGGTTTGCAGAATGTTGGTAAGGGGTACAGGACTGTCTGGCATGTTCATGGTTCATTGTTCAACATTTAGGTTTTCCTCAGAACTTTTTATCAGATACTATATTGATTGATTGATTGATTGATTGGTGTTTAATGCCACTTTCAACACTATTGTGCTATTTCGTGGCGGTCAGTTTTTATTGGTGGAGGAAGCCGGAGGGAACCACCGACCTTCGGTAAGAAAATTGACAATCCTAGTCAATCAATCCTAGTCAATTAAGATTGGAGTTGAGTGCACCTGCCACATGCGGGATTGGAACTCACAACCTCAGTGTTGAATGGCAAGTGATACAGTGTGTCGACTACTTAGACCACTCGACCTCCAAGGCCCCCTCAGATATTATAAGTGAGAGGTAAACTTTATTGGTTGCATATAATAATTGTAAGTGTGCAGGTTTGTGTGACAGTGTTCATCTGACCGTGACCTAATTTTCATTGTTCTTTTGTAATCTTTTGAGTTTATGTTATGGTCTGATTCTAAAATACTATAAGAAATAGATCAACTACTTTGGGTTAAGAAAATTATAGTAAGGTGTACATGTCCATCAAACAGGGTTTATCTGAACTTGATCTTTTTTCATTGATCATTGATCTTCAGTTTCTGTTATACCTGTTTTAAGACCTTGACCCTAAAGACATCCAATCATTATCAGCTACACAGGTGAGACATTTCAGTGTGTGCACTCTTGTTAAAGTTTGTTCTAAAGTTGTGCTGTTACACCACTGTCTAAGGTTAGGGACAGGCTTTTACCTCTCCCCACAAACCCATTTTCTCATTGTGGAAGTCCTTATGTTGACCAGTAGTTGTTTACATTACAAATGACAAATAACAATTCTAACAAGAATGAGATCACTAACAGGGTAAGCATTTCCTCTTGTGTGTGTTTTATTGATTATACAATCCCTAACTAGTTGAGTAATGATTTTGATTAGGTTAAAACCTGTGAACTGTAATTGCTTTGCCCATCTCTAAGTACCTTTATTGGTAATACATGATTTGTGGTGGTGGTTGTTGTGCCATAGGTTTAGACACATTCAAAATATTGTTTAGAGACATATGCCGTATTAAAGGGAAATAATGAAACGCTGCAACTATCAACTAGATCATAATAAAGTGTTGATCTTTGTTTTTCTTCTTCAAAATCATGTCAATTTGAGTGGGAAGGGAAGTCATTTTAATGAAATCTTAAAATGAAGTACATGTAAGAAAAACTCATTGTATAATAATAAATAATTTAATAACAAGTAATGAAGCCTACTACCTAGTAGTATTTATAACATTCCCCCTGGCAATATATATGTATATCTTTACAGAATTTCTACTGAAAAAAAACATCTACATATTTTCCCTGGCAGGCTTCATACAGCTTCTCAATATATAATTTCATCTTAAATCTCAATTTACATCACTGCTTCACATATACAACCTTGCTATAGAATATTTATACTACATATCTTTATACAATTCAATTCAAAGAAATCATCTTTTAAATGATCTTTTTCAATCATGAATTTCAAAGCCAGTATGACTTTTTACATTAAAAGATATTGTTGATTGTTTGTGATGACTATTAAATTAACTACAATGTCATCATTTTGTAAGTTAACATTGTTGTCAATTTAAAATTTCAGTAAGAAAACTAGTTTTCAGTAATAATTTGACTGAATTACCATAGAGAAAAACATTTTCCAGAACAAGCTTACAGGAGAAAAACAATTTCAATAATAACTTAATTTGGGGGGTAAATATCTGTTTGGGAAATGCATGTGCATTTACATTAGTCCTCTAAAAGCACTGAAAAAATTACAATTTTAATCAAGTGTGGTCTTTTTCCCCACTACTGGATAAACAAAGGTATAATCCTAATGAGGAAAATAAAAAGTCAAGCACAAATGATAATACAAATAATAAAATATACAAAAATTTGATCAATTTTCTACTGAAATTATGAATTGGCAGAGGTACTGAGATCATGTGAGATGATTTTAAAACAAGACCATTTCAAACCCAAAAAATACAATCTCCATACAGTGTTACAAAATGTATATGTTATATAAATTTTTAAGATTTATAAATATATATCACCTGAATATAGATGCATATCATATCAACAACACTAACATATTCAAGGGTCATTTCCTTGATCTTTTGTCTATGGAATAATGGCAACCTTGTGAAAACAAATACTATTAAATCCATCAAACATCTCAAGTATAGGTCACTGGGAATAAATTTGAACACTTTCTTGACTAGATAAGATAATATTAAAAATATCTTGTGATAAAACTGCTGACAAACAGATACATTTGTATAAATAAACAATAAAACCTAATACTGTGGATTCATTTTTATTCGTGGTATACCAATTTTCGTGGGTTTCGTGGGTCACAGCGAACCACGAATTTAAGAATTCAACGAAGAATAATCCCGAGAAATGTGTATGGAGTCGGATGTTTATTTCCAGTTATGTTATGCAGTTCTAGTATAGTGTTGACTAACGATAAACATTGTAACATAACACGTGTTTTTCTTGAAAGAAGATACAAGTATTTTGATTAAATCAATAATAAATATATCGAATATCAGTGACAATTTACTTTTTAAAATTGATTTAAACTGTTCATGGAAAATAAATGCAAGTTGTTAATTACCGTGTCATAGTTTGGTTTACTGGTGATTAAAAATCAATAGGATTAACGGTGCGGGGATATTGCCCGTAGGTAATATTATTTATGACAGGAACATTTATTTTCACACCTTTTACTTATACTTATATAGATTCAGATTCAATATTTTATTAAAGTCTCACCACTTGTATAACATTATACATTCCAATATACATATAAAACATTGCGTATAACATAAAATATTGAAAAACATATATAAAACATATAGTATATTAAAACTAACAGTAAAATATCATTAGCTTAAATACTAAAACATATACAAGCGCCATTCTATTAAGAATTATGAGAGACTATTAAATGATTATTATATACAATATTTAACATAATTTTAAAACTATATATATCTAAGATTTAAAATATATCATCAGCTATATACAAATAAGAAATTTGTTCTTCTACATAAAATATTAAAGCAGGTTTTAGCAACTACCTGACATAGTTCTTCATTTCTGAATAAAAATATAAACTTTTCGTCATTAGACACGTTATAAAATTGATCATTATGTTTGACTGCTTCACTATACAATATATTTCGAAGGTCTGCATATAAAGGACATAAAGTAAATACATGTTTTTCGTCTTCAATTTCATTTTTACACATAAAACAAGATCTTTCATTTATTGGTTTATTCTCATATCGTCCTGTTTCTATTTTAAGTGGAGCAACACCACACCTAAATTTTGCATAAGCACTTTTAAATTTAATAGACATATTTTGTTTTAAATATAACTCTGTACAATATTGTGATTTATATAGCTTATAAGTACGAAGCTTATATATTATATCGTGATTAGGGAAATGAGCTTTCGATCATAGAGTTTTAAATGCCTTATAAAATTCCGACAAGAATTTATAAATTGTAAAACAAACAAATAATTAGTTGTCTCTGTCCATTATTGTAATAGAAGTTTTCAATGAACACTTTAACCTAGAATGACCAAGCGAGGATTTTGACAATTCAAAACCTTTTCAATGAT